CTCTGCTGATGACACAGATAAACCTCCAAGTCGCCCCAACAACTCTCTAAAAGAATGCAAATGACCATCTGTCTGTCAGGAATATAAATCCTTCCTTCCCCACCATCCATCCAGTCAGACCTGAAGAAGCTTCTTGGATGAGAAGCAAAACATCTTCAAAAGTCCAGTTGCCTCTTAAAAAAGCACCTTTGGGACAACCCATAACTTCGATGACTGAGAATGTCCACAGACATCGAAGTACCTTGTTTCCAGATTTTATTTCACAACTATTTTTATGTTGGTCATAAAGCAGATCACGACAATGTTTAAATGAATCATGTGGTTGTTAAGCGAATCCAGCCTATTCAATTGGAAAATGTAAAAAAAAAAAAAAAGACATAAGTCATGGTCATGTGATTGGAGAATGCTGCATCCAGTCAGAAATGCAAGCTAGTTGCCCAGTTACCCAAAATGTAATTGCGTGATTATGGCAGTTGCAACTTTGAGGATGGTTCGTAAATAGCATTTTGATTGAAGTTTGAACATAGGTCTTAAAATGACTGCTTGTAAGTTCAAATGCCTTGATACCAAAAATTCAGTTTTGCCCCCGTGTGTGTTTGTGTGTGTGTGTGTGTGTGTGTGTGTGTGTGTGTGTGTGTGTGTGTGTAATAACTTCATGTCTGAAATAAATTTCAGACTTAAGGGTTTCCCTGCATAGAAATCACCCATAAAATGATGAAAAATTTCACAACGCAGTTCATTTCTAACCTACACACTCCATGTTTTACAGCTTTTACAACAAGAGGAAAGCTGCACACTGGCAGCAAGTCCACAGCACATTAAAATTCAATTGTGAGTGTGGTGTATGAAGTTCAAAAAGTGTTGTTTTTTTTAAATCACAATTTTTCATGGAATACCAAGTGATGTTTTGTGGAACCCCAGCTGAGAATGGTTGTTGTGGGCCATCAATTTTTTTCTTTTCCTGTACAGAATAAATATCCATATCTGCCTGACATTTGGATGTTTTCCCAGGACTAGGACTCTTCCGTCTTTCTACTCTCATCTCTCAGAGTCTCTCCCCTTGGTCCCCTTTTCTTCCAGAATATAAACTGGGAAGAGGTACTCTGCATTCCTATGCTTTGAGTGACAGCTTTAACATCCAATCATAACACAAACATTATTAATGGTAATAACTTCCTGGGAGGAGGTACCCTGCATT